TATTCTTTATTCCATATTATGTATTCCATATTCGTTATTTTACATTCTATATCCTATATTCTTCTGCATTGTACGTCCTGTTTTCTTCCTTTGTTTATTCCATGATTTTCCACTATCGTAATTGCGTCCAAATTTTAATTGTCTACTAATTATTTTTTGCTTTTTGTTTTTGGCTTTTTCTTCATTTCCAGTTCCGCTTGGCGTTCGCGTACTTGTCCACCTATGGCGGCAATCTGACGCAGAAAGAGCGTCTCTACATTACAATTTCCGGTTTTCCCAAAGCAACTGTCCAAGTAAGTTTCCGTTGGCAGCGCACCGTCGCCTCGGGTCTCCATTTCAAATGTCGCCAATTCCCTTGGCTGTGCTTGCCGTCATTATTCAATGTTCGCTTTGCATTCATTCATACTCGTACATATGTATGTACATACCTACATACATACATACATACTTATTTAGGTATTCACATACGGTTATACGTGTATATTACTAGTGTTAGATATAGCACGTATGCATATATGTACATACACATCTGCTCATCGCTGTTTTTTTTTTTTTTGGCAACATGTAGCACATTTATGTCACCGGCCGTTAACAACACGCTTTGAGACCGCTTTTAACCGCAGCAGTGTTGCAAAACACGCCACAATTCTGAGAGCAACAATATACATACATATGTATGTATATACCGCTGTCTCCCTTTACCGCCTCGCTCATTGCCTTCATTGACCTCGAGTGTCTCCAGTGGCCTACCCACTTGCTATTTACAACTAAAAGCTTGTTTCACTTACTGCTCATCATTGCTTGTTTGTGTGAGCGCGCGCGTGTGTTTTTGAAGTTTTTGTGGTTTTTTGTGTTTGTGGCAGATAAATTTAAATGCTACGCTTGCAAAGTTATTTTCTAACACGACCACGCTGAATAGTCTCCTGCATCCCTGCCTCAACTGGTTCGGCGTTGCGCTGCCACTATTTCCGGTTCTTAGTTACATTTCGAATTCAGAAATAAGCTTCCGTTTTAGTTGGTTCTTTTTCACTGTCAGGTTTTTCCATTTACTTGCTTTCTTATTTTTTTAATGTTTATTTTTCTTTTTATTTTTTGGTGTTCCCCTTCGTTTTTTTTCTTGTTGCATGTTGCATTGTGGCATGTGGCGCATATGTTGCATGCTCTTGTGGTCAACTTATATTTTGTTAGGCTAAATATGCGGTTTGCTGCGATTCACATATTTCTCGCCTGTTTGGCTTTGCTTTGCTATGCTTCGCCTGGCCCATTTGTATTGGCCAGTTGGCTTTAACTTGTTGGCTGGTTTGTTGGCAACAGTTTGGTGGCGTGTTTGTTTGGTGAGTTGCGCCGCGGTTGGCCACATCGGTTGGTTACTGCTAGCTGTTTCTTGTGCTGAGCATTGCCTTTGCTCGCTAAGGGATTTGTTTAAGTGCCATATTCACAAACATTTTTGGCTTATTGAATTGCAAAGCGTTTTATATACATACATATACATGCATACATACATACACCTGTACATATAACAATACATATGTGAGTATGTATACATATATAGATTTAGTACAGCCATAACTTAGGGAAATTTGTTTTATACCAGTGAGTGTAAGAAAGTTGAAATCAGGGAAGGTGTTCAGGGAATAAAAAAGAAGTTCACACCGCGCCAGCACAAAAAGAGCCGGGAAAGTATGTCTGCTTGATGATTTGAAGAATGTTGTGGTGTGTGGAGCTGGCTTCCGCTGATAAATAATGCTGTCGGCAAAGCTTAGAGTCAAGAAAACTCAGACTCGTATACCCTAAGCCCTCCAAGATATTCAAGGTTTTCAGTGTTACCGCCACAGCGTATTTAGTTCAAACGGTCGTGGAGAAAAGTTCACTGAAAGGAGCTTGAGAGGGGGAGAAACGAGGGTCCGTCTGGTGGGTATCACTTTTGGGTACAAGAATCGGAAAAATCCAAGCCTCTCCATGTCCAGTCATTCGCGAAGCGAGCATATACCTGGATGGAATCAAAGAGGTTTCCTGTGCCGAAAATAGGGCTGCTAGCTTGTTTAAGCGACAAATCTACGCTCTTGAGGAACTGTGGCCCGGAACTGACTTAGTGAAAGTATTTATGCATGAGATTTCTTGTCAGCGACAAGGGGTTGGGACGCAAATGAGCTTTAAATTTGACAGATGTTTCTGGAAGTCATTTAAATTTTCAGCGAAAGCATTAACAACCTTAGACTAAAAGCCTTGAGCACTCTTTCAAGAGCCTAGTAAGAGGTCTCTTTTGTTTTCCTGAAAACTTGGAAATATAAAACCCTATTTTTTTAAGGGAGTAATACTAGATAGTAAAATAAAGCTGCCCAATATCATTAAACTTTTGCTTATCCCAGTAGAACTATTTTAAACAAATCTTTTTGATTGCCGAATGTATGTGCCACCGAAAATTAAAAGGTGGCCCACAACATTTGGCAAAAAATTATTCTTTTTTGAAATTATCTTGTAGACATACTTTACACCCAGGCGTGTGCGGCGAACTTTTTTTTTGTTTGCTTTTAAGGTGTTTCGGTGTAATGTTCACAGAAATTGTTTCATATTAACAATTGCGAATAGAAAAGAATAAACCAGGAAATTTTGATGAAATATTCTGTTTAATGCGTCTTCAAAAAAATTAAAATTAATGAACGTTTCTTTCGAACATATCCAGCATTACAACACACAAATGAAATACCTTTATCTTTTACCTTTTGCATAGTTCTAAACCACTATTGTGCTGCTTCTATTTTTAATTTCTGGCGCCAACTTTTTAAATTTGACAGAGATGAATCGTCAAAGGGCTCACGGAAGCAGCAGAAAATTGCATATATATATATACACACATATATGTACATATGCATACAGGTGCATACATACCCTGCAGGGAAAGCTACCAGTTGCGAACCAGAATGCTAACCGTATGCGTTTAACTAGTTTACGTTGTATCCTTTTTCAATGGTAGCGACTGGTAATTTTAGCTTGGCGGTGTCATAGGAGATGTCATTCTTAATTTTTTTTATGATATTTACGTTTTTAGGTTTTCTCCAAATGAAATTAAATTTACAATTTTTATATTATTTTTAAATTGATATAATTTACTTGTTTTATTGTGATCCCCTCCATGTGAATTCGAACCTGAGATCCCAGAATCGGTAGGCTTCACTTGACGCCACAGCCGAAATTTGTGACGAAAGCAATTAATCGCATTTTAGTTTTGGTTTTGGCAACTCAAATACAGATGTCGCTGATCGCATAGGTTTTTAGCGAATGTCGCCTGCCAATTGCCAAAAGTGTTGCCGCTGAGAGTGTGGCCGCAAGTTGCTCGAAATCGCCAGCACATACTGGTTAATGAATTGGTATTTTTACTGACTATACCAGTTAGTCCATTAGTTAATCCATGATGAACTGGTTTGACTTTCTCTACCCAACTAGTATAATTATAGTTCATAACGAACTAGTATGACAATTATCCTTAAATAATAGTTCATGTATTGGATTTTTGCATACTGGTTCAGCTTTTCACTGCAGGGTATGTTTGTCTAAATTTATGTATAAAATAAGAAAAGGTGTCAAAGCAACAGTGAGTGCATAAACAACGTAAACAAACGTCGAACACTCAAAGTCATCAAAGCAACCGCTTTTAGTCTTTTTTTTTGGTGCATAATCACTTTGGCAAAGACATTTTGCCATTGGGATAGCACAAGGTGACTAGAAAATATCCGGTCTATGTATGACGAAAGCTTGTAGGTATAACTTACGTAATAATTCTGATCAAAATTTAATGACGAGCAATTTTGAACAGAAAGAAAAACTTTAAAACTATGTTTTCTTTAAAGTGAACTGGCTCTTACATTGGCATTCTGCAATCGATCCTTCGTTGTTTTGTACAACAAAAACCATTTCGTTTTGCATTTCGTTTTCTTTTGTATGTTTCATGTGTATGTGTACATACCGAAGCCAGCGATATCTCTTGTACTATTTTTATGCATTTTTATGCAAGAGCTAACGTAGGTAGTTGTTGCTGTAGTGCACTATTACCACATTCTATATAGGATGACTAATAGCGTATTTCTAATGCCGGTCCCTATCGGATTTCCCATTTCGAATTTTTCAAATCTAACTCTCACATTCGTGATTAGTGAGCCCAAAAATCATAGAGTAACAAGTTTCAAGCCAATCCGATTACTTTTCACAATATTCTTCGCCATCTTACTTCAGATTCATAATTACCGACCCAAAAAACACCCTGTAGCAAGTTTTAAGCCGATAAGAGTTCGAATATTGGTCACTTTCTATCGTTTACTGGCCCATAGTGCGCTCGTGAAAGTAAGAGATGAACTGATTTTTTTGCATTTGTGCAGTCTTCTGATCACACGACGATCCTAACCCTATCAATGGTACAGTTCATCATATCATTTTCTCTGCACCCGTATCTCATGCAGGTCGGTGGCGTTTTGTGGTGTACATCTTTCTGAAGCAACGACACATTGTTCGTCCGACTCATAACTGTCATGCCATACGCTGCATTATTCGCCGGATTATGCGTACTTCTTACAGACACGCCCTCTCTATAACCTTTTCTGTACTGCGTTTAAATCGATTTTCTATTCCCAAAGGACATCCAGCTGTTGGCATCTTCTATGTAGAGGGTTCGAACGTCCCAGGTGCATATCCATACTCGTAGACCTTGTTTCGTCTTCGAGGATAGTCAGCGTTTGAGGGTGGCTGGTCCCCCGCCGAGCATATTCAAAAAATGTATATAGCGAGCCGCTTGCTACAAGATAGGTTGGTGTACCTGCTGGTAAATAACCAATCCCTCTCTCAGCCGTGGGCCAGGACTCAACACACAGATTGGTTTCTATATCTCGTACTTGGGCTGCTAAAGTTACACAGTGTGTGCGAAGTAGAATGTAAGCATCTGAATAATAGCCGGTCAACTAGAAGAAGGACCCCTCAGGCAAAGGTGCCCATTTGTTCCATCGGTGTCAGTTGATAAAAAAATGGCAGTGAGCAAAGTAATTCCTTTTTGTTATATACGTTAACCGGCCGAAAAAGGCTGACTGAAAAAAATAGCACGCCAGCGATATTAAAAAAAACGACGAAGCTATACACTATCAACCTTTAGTTTTATGACGAGGCATATATCTATATGCATTTGTATGTATGTATGTCCGTATTCACTTCCAGCTTCTTTCCTTAAAGTTCTTTAATTGTACAAAGGTTGACAATTGAGCCAGCAATCAAGCAAAGCTTCACCGCTGCCGTCAGACTTATGTTTACGAAAGTACCAATTTTCGTTTATACACAAGCGAGATAAGATTCATTAAATTGCGCTCGCTTTTAATAATAAAGGTCAATAGACGCACTTACGCCTAAATTCACGCCTACATAAAATATAAATGAATGAAAAGAATGAGCTCAACCAATCATCAGGCTGACTAACAATAATTCGCCCAACGGCAATGCTGTGTTAAGTCAAATTCATCGAGGTCTCCTTTGTGAAGTTGTTGTGACTTGTGGCCACGAGGCGAATATGTATTTACATACATACATTGTTTATAAAGAAACGAAGCTAAAAATGTTGAGAATATTTTACGCCTCCACTCGTAACAATCGCTTTGAATTTTAATTTGCGCCTTACAATTCATAGGAGTCATTACAATTTTTTCTTTCAATTTACTTTGGCCATCAACCACCCACATACATACATAATTTTATGTTAGCGATTCCTCATCCACCTCATATCCATCACCCATCGGCTTGATTATCCGAATGTTTTATATTTATTTTAATGATATTTTCGCCCTTAGGCCGCCCTAGGTCCGCTTGCTTTGGACATGGCCAGATCATTAAGCGTAGTCGATGAGCAAAGCATCGCCTTGGCCAACAATGTGCTTATCATTTCGGTGTTGGCCATCATTTTCACCGCACCACTGGGTGCTGTACTCATGTTGAGATTAGCGCCACTGTGGCTACAACGCGAGCGACGCGAATGCAGATAGCAAGTGCAATGTAATTAATTGCAACAACAACAGCAGCGGCTGGCAGCGTTAGTGATTTAAAAAATGTTTCGATGAAGAACGCACACAATCCGAGCTACATTGGCGATAATATTCAAAACACCAGCAGCCACAGCCTCAATACCATCGAAGCCGCTGATGATGGCTATGTCGACGGAGGCGATGTGCGCATTCATGTTGCGGACACCATCGTTACGGATATGCCGTTGCCACAAGCGAGGGAGGAGTCTAAGAAATCTCATCGCTTGGTTTGAATCCAATTAGCAATGCGGCTGTGTTGCCATGACGACGCGCTTGATGGCCAAGCGTCAAGGAGCTGAGTAAATACATATATTTTGTTTCTCTTCATGTTTGTATTGAAGAAAGTTATCTTAAGCGGTGATTTATTTGTGTGTATGCAAATGGCGAGTATTTAGGAGTAACATGTGTATGTAGGGGTACTTTAAAAGTAGCTTAATTTAAGACATATACTTACTTAAACCTATTGTACTTTGGTATTACCTTTACTGGTTGATTACACTGGATCACAAATTGTAATTTTTATTTTGTTCTCCAGATGCCACTATATAATTTGAACCACTCGCTGATTCCGAAAATCGAGTTAGTTTATTTTTGTATGGATACGTTTTCGAGATATTTGCAATTTACCGTTATTCAGTAAAAAAAAGAGTGGTTCCACTTAATCAAGTATATCTTTAATGAAAGAATATAAAATTGTCTATAAAACGTTTATACATCACTTTTCGATAGCCCTGATAGTTTCTCAGAAATTAATTAAACATTCCAGATTTTTTGTTTTTTTTTTTATGGAAAAATGCAAAAAATTCAAACTTTAAAAGGAAAAAAGCGAAAAAATAACAGTTTCTGCGTAAATATTTTGCACTTATGTTAAAGCCTGTTACTTTAGAAAAAACCTACGCTACCAAATAAGAAAATCGATATATAAATAACAAAATAATGCTTGGTCAAATGAAAATGCGCAAGGATTTATTATATGAAATATTAGCCACGCCCACCTAAGTAGGTAGAGTTTTTGCATCGAAAATAAGAGGCGTCAGAAATGATTAATTAATTTCTCATAAACTATTAGGGCTATCCAAAAGTGATATATATATGGTTTATGGAGAATTTTATTTGCTTTCATTCCCCGTATCTCGTATTACGATTATTCAATTGGTGATTAAGTGAAGCCACTATTTTTTAAATCTGAATAACGGTAAATTGCAAATATCTCGAAAAGTTATCCATAGAGGAACAATAGATCTCGATTTTAGGAATCACTGAGGAATTCTACATGAAAATTGGATAGTGGCATCAGGAGAATATTTTTGCTGTAAAACAGTGTTATTTAATTAGGCACTTAATCCTATTCGAACATTTTGTGAGTAGTTGCCAAAGCAACTAATGATTTCGTTGATTAGAATAAGATTTAAACAAATTTATGCAGTAGCTTTATTTATTAAGTCTGTTTAAAGGTAAGTTAAATATTAGCTACTAGATAATTCCCTATGTTAGTTTTTCTTTCGTATGCTATCCCTTTTTTCTTCTTCTTGTTTGGCTCTGCAACTGACACCAACTGGAAAAGACTAAGGAATTCAAGTGCTTTTCCACCCCTAAATTTACACTACATTATTTTTGTTATTATTTTTAATACTAGAAGTGCCAGTTGGTGTCGAAATTCTACCCTTTTTTCTATTTTTTTTTTTTTAAACCTTGGGGAGGAAGTATCTCCTGCTTTTTTAAATAAAACGTGACTACAACTTTTTATATGCTTGACGTTCTTTGGGGGACTTTGTCAAGATTTGGAATTTTGTCGATAAGTTTCATCAAATGAATTAAAAAAAAAAAAAACTTAAGATCCAGTGTTTTTGGATTTGAAAGCGGTTGGGTATACCCGCTAAACGAACAGTGACAAAATTTATTTTAGCGTAAACATATATATAGATTATTATGGGCCACATGGTCTCCGACCTCCTAGTATGTGTGGTTCTCTGCCCTAAATGGGTAGGCTTTTAATGTAGTCTAGCACCGCCCAAGTGAGCTAGCCCACGCCTAGCGAGAATGTGTTCTGACGTTTCTACATGCAGATTAAAAAGCGAAAGACATTTGTTTCTGAAAATAAGTTTTTTGTGTCCTTTCTGCCTCAATTGAACCCAAAGCTCAAGGATATTGAAGCAATAATATACTAGCTGCGAGTTTATTTAGTAAGACTTCAGAGCCAGTAGGGCTGACTGACTGCTCGACATAAATTTCATTGCACGAATTGCTTTAGATTTTCCTAAGTTCGGCATAACACTGACGGGCGGTACCTTGACTCCGTCATCATCGACTGGGGGCTCGTCTTTTCTACTACCTTCTGTGCTGATGGCATTCAATGGAACGGAAAAGTGTTCCCTCAATGATTTAAGTATATTCTGTATATCGGTACCTAGGTTACCATGTTTCTTCTTACAGGAATTCGCCCTGGTCTTGAAACCTTCTGCTTAACTGTTTAAGCAAATTGTAAGGCGTTTTTCCTGTCGGTCAGCACCTTAAGCTCTTGGCACTCATGTACTTCCTCCTTTTTCTTCTTCTTTTTTCTGCGGCTTCTTGATACTCCTCATCGTACCAGCTGTTCTTTCGGGCTCGCTTAAATACAACTACTTCTTCGGCGACGATACTTAATGATCGGGACATGTGGTTCCGCTGCTCGCGTATGTCGGATTGTTGAAGAGTGCTCTCAGAGAGCAAATGTGTGTGTCGAGTCGCGAATAAATTGGCCGTCTGCAGTGATTGAAGCTTTTCTACGCCAAGCTTTTTCGCATTGTTGAGTGCACATTTTTTGCTGCACAGAGACGGGTGCGTATCTTGGCTATAACAGGATAGTGGTCGAAGTCACTGTTTGGATCTAGGAGTGTACGTACGTTTAACTCGCTGCAAGTATGCCTTCTTTATATCACAACATGATCGATTTCGTTTCTCGTTTTTCGAACTGGAGTCAGCCATGTCGCTTGGTGGATGTTCTTTTGCTGGAGCCTAGTACTACATATTACCATGTTTCGGGCCCCCGGTGAAGTCGATCAGCCTTAGTCCGTTATCGGACGTTTTGTCGTGGAGGCTGAATTTTCCGACAGTGGCGCCAAAGATACCTTCCCTGCCCACCTTGGCATTAAAATCGCCGAGCACTCCTTTACGTGGCAACTGTGATAGACGTCGCAAGGCTTCACACTTACCTTGCCTTGCCCCGTCCATCGCATTTCTTCGATGGCGGTGATGTCAGCCTTTGTCTTCCCGACTATAACAATCAGCCGGGCAGAGGCACCTTCCCTATTAAAGGTTCGGATATTCCAGGTGTATACCCTCAAATCATAGGCCCATTACACGATTGAAGTGGTCGTCATCAAAAATACTTGGTTTAATTTTTTGTTGTAGTTGCGGCAGAATTACTTAGGATCACTCCCTAGGGTCCTCTAAGTACCTCACTTGGAATGCTAAGCGGTACAACAATAGGAATGTAGTAAGTAATTGTTGATTGAAAAAAAAACTACTAATTTAAAAATTTTTGCTATGAAATTTGAATTGGTTTAACAATTTTTATTTTGCATTTCATAAAGGTGCAAGTAGATTTTGCTGAACAATAAAAAGTATTCATCTGTTTTTAGCAATAATAAATCGCAATTATTCCGTGAACAAAATTTTGCCAAATGTTACATTTTCAAACAATAGAACAGATATCCAATAAAATAAAAAAAATTAATAAATGGCAGCAAATATTGAGAATAAAGAAAAAGTCCAGACAAAATTGCACTGGACAAAACAATGAAATCGTAAAAAAAAAGTCATAAGACACCTTCACCGAAAACAAACAGCCGTAAAAAGAAACATATTTTCAGGCGTCTGGCAGTGCAGCCATTCAAATTTTGATAAATATCATCGAAAGTTCATTGCCTTCGTATTCGACGTTTGTGTCGATGCGGGCTTGTCTCTTTAATGGCATTTGTAGCACTCTTAGCGCGCTCTTAACTATGTACAAAGCTACTCATCTGCTTACATACTAATTTGAAGTAAGAAACATTTGCATACATAGTATGTTAGGGTGGTCGAAAAATGCATGTGAAAAAGTAAAATTGTAATTTTAATAACGCCATCCCTAGGATTGTTCTATACCGAAAAAATATGTTCCTATTTTTTTTTGCATCGGAAAGGTAGTGTCTCAGAGGTGGTCCCGTACTAATTTGCAGTTTTCAAGAATTTTGTACCATTTCTGCGAAAAGTTGTTTTTTCCCATTTAAAAAATATTTTATGATTTCAAAATAAAAAACAAGGTTATATTTCTTTCGGTATAGAACAATCCTAGGGGTTTAAAGGGGGCATTCAAATTCCAAGTTTGCTATTTTTGGACCACTCTAATAGTATTTACGCATACATTTATGTATGTATGTATATCGAAGAATTTGCAAGAGTAAACCAAGTCGAGCCGCTGCTGCAATGCACCAGTATTTTGCGAGCTTATTACTGGCACAAGTGTTTTGTTTTTCACTGCAGATTATTTATGCTCATTGGCAGCATTGTGGGCCTTTTCCCCCTTATGCCACGAGCACCTTCCCTAATTTGCACTTATGCCAGCCACTTTTGCTTAAGTGCGTCGAAGTATTGAAAAAGTTTTGAACTTTTCATTTTTATTTTTGTTTTGTTTTTATCTCTTCCAATTACCAGCATTTTTATGACAGACAAAATTATGTAATACCTTTTTATTGGCAACACATTGTTCGATTTGTATTTACTTATTACATTTCTTATTTGTTTTACCATTCTCTGTGCTTCTGCTTTATTCACTTAGTTTTTTTTTGGTTTCTTCTCACACTTCTCACAGATGCTCCATTCACTCAAGCGAAGTAAGTAGGTATATTACGAGTATAGTTTGAGAAACAAAAGAAGTAGCAACATAAAAATTAAAATGTTAATAAAATGAAAACAATGTATACAAAAACAATAAAAATTCGGAATGTGTGCA